AATCGACAATAGCACAACAGTTGTGAAATAATTTAGTCAAAGGTGTCCGCTCTTAATGTTATTTGTCACTAGCTTCCGCCTGCGACTCCATCCGCGTTGTAAAACAAAATAAAGTAGCCTATGTGTTCTTCTAGACTATCCTCTACATCTATGCCAAATTCCATCCAGATTCGTTCAGACTTTTAGGATACAAACTCTAACAAACATCCATCAAAACTTTTACATTTATAATACTAGCTGTTCCCGTGCGAGTTCATCCGCATAAAATTATAATTTTTTTTATTGTTTACATTTGTCAAATTATCAATAGCAAATGTCAAAATGACAAACCTTGGCAATGATACGTTCTTGATGTTGGCAGCAACTTATGGTCTCTTTCCCACATTAGGGTTTTTATCCAAAATATTTACCCCCTAATTTTAATGGCGTGAAAATATATAGCCTAAAGCGTGACGTAAGTGTAGTGCTTTTTATTAAAGAAAGAATAATTCAAAAATATGCTGTGATTGCTGACATCCTACGCCACAAACTAGTGTGTTTACGCTTTATTCAATTACAGTAAGAGGTAAGATAGATGTCGTTATAAGCATTACATTTTAAATTTCGCACAAAATACTAATTAATAAACATAAAACATGTAAGCGAAATACATTTTAATCAAAGCACATTACCATAAGGGCACGACAAGGTTGTCGGGAACAATTTGCATGAAAAATTCGAGTGTATTCAACGCGGACAATACCTACATTGTATAGTCAGGGACATTATTTTCCTACCCATTTCGGTGAAATCAGACTACAATGGAATCTAATTTAAAACTTATACCTAAATACTAATTACATTTTACGATAACAGTTTGCATTTTTCGACGCTAAGTGCGGGTGCACAGCATTGACTAAACTATGTACGATAGTCGATTGTTTCGCAGCCCATTCAACTGTTTAGTTGCACAACTGAAAATCGAGTAGAATACGCACTATATAAGCTATATAAGTTTTTTTTAGAAAACTAAATGAGATAGAAATATATGTTTTGCACAAGTATATTTTCAGTGAAAATTCGCAGTTACTATGCCTTTGTCCGCAAATGACAGGAGAATAACGCGACCTGTCATTGTGAAACGAGTTATTGAATAAAGTTATTAGTACGTCCATTGTTACGCTTTTAATTATTAGAATGGAGTTGTAACGAACAATGGAATGTGAGGATTTTACTTGACTTTATAGAAGCGCAGGTAATATTTTAGTTTATTAAATAACTAGCTGTTCCCGTGCGGCTTCATCCGCATGAAATTATGAAAGTTTTATTTTATTATTAACATTTGTGAAATTGTCAATTGCAAATGTCAAAATGACATGACAACCTTGCTATCTTGATGTTAGCAGCTTGTAGTTTATGGCCTTTTTTCACATTAAGGTTTATTTCAATTTATTTGTCCCTTATCTATGTAAACTTCTATACTATTATAATAAAACGTAAACACACACTGCTTTGTTGCCTAAGATGTCAGCAATTGCAGTACATTTTTTAATAATTCTATTTTTAATAAAACATCTTAGACTCGCGTCATGCTTTAGGCTATATATTTTAACGCCATTAAACTTAGGAAGTGAATATTTTGGATAAAAACCCTAATGTGGGAAAGAGACCATAAGTTGCTGCCAACATCAAGGAAGCAAGGTTTGTAATTGATAATTTGACAAATGTAAACAATAAAATAAAATTTTCATAATTCCATGCGGATGAAGCCGCACGGGAACAGCTAGTGTTTAAATGAAATTTGACACAGATGTAAATCATAGAGAAAGTTGCGAGAAAAAGCTAGTAGCCAATATTGAAATATATATTGACAAGTCAATAAATATTGACAAGCAAATGTTTCTGGCCAAACAAAATGCTAAACGAAAGCACAAGCGCAAGTAGTGTTCAAAAGTCAATCATTCTTATTTTTATTTTAATTGAAATAGATTTTATTAAATACTAGCTTTCGCTCGAGACTCTGTCCGCGAGGAGTTAAAAAAATCAAAAGTAGACTATGTCTTGTTCCAAACTATCCTTTACATCTATATCAAATTTCGTCGAAATCAGTTCAGTAGTTTAGGCTACAAACTCTTACAAACATCCATTGATCTAAACTTTCGAATTTATAATATTAGTAAGATTTCGAATGTTGTAATAATTGCAGGGAAGAGGGTAAAGTAAATTAGGATCGAAAAGGTCGAGCATGGCGCGGTCCATTTCATTTTCATTGTGGTCGGCGCTGTTTTATTCCTGTAATAAAAAGTCCTGGCACGTTTTCACGTTTCTTCTATTAATATGTATGAATTTGGGATGCCCTTAGTTAGGTACAGTCAAGGAATCTGGCAGTATTCCAGTTTCCTAAGTCACATGAATATTTGTACACATTGAGATAACGCAGAACGCTACTTTGAAATGTGTCTATACGATATAAGGTTAGAGTGGTATGGGCATGTTATGAGAAGGGATGAATTGCACGTAACAAGACGGACGTTAGTTATGAATGTGGAGGGGTACACCGGTAGAGGTAGACCTAGAAAGAGATGGATGGATTGCGTGAAAGAAGGGAGTGATGACTGAGATGACGGATGATAGAGTTATTTGTAGGAATAAAACCCGGTGCGCCGACCCTATGGTAGTAGGATAAGGCAAGGGAGATGATGATGACGAAAAAAGGTCGAGCATTATACGGTTGTTTATGAAGATGATTGTTCCATCGTTTGAGCAACTCACGGTATTTGTGATAAGAGTTGGTTTTATTGCGAGTAACAATGGAATTATTCTGTAAGCGTAACACTGCAGATTTCCACGACTGTACTTGTATGTCATTTGATATCGCATACACACACGTAACAGTCGGAAAGACCTCTCTTGTAGTGAACATTTAGTTATTGCGAGTTACGTTTTTTCTTTCTTATGTCGACTAAGATTGTTGTTAACTAAATTTCTAATTCCCTATAAAAGAAATTTAGCTGAAAAAAGTAATTCATAATTAGTTAAAAGCACAAAATATTGAACATTGCAAGAAAACTTAAGTAACAATATATTTTTTTCTTAAACATAACATTTCATGAACATAAACTATGTGTTTGCGACTTTGCGTCACTTTATAAACGTAATTCGAAACAATGAAAATTGATGCATTGTTATGTACGTGAGTATACTAAACTGCACGAGTAATGAGACGCGACTCGTGGGGAATTGCTCCTTACTGATTTCCCAAGGGCCTGTCAAATTCTACACATTATTGCACAAAATTGATTCATATCTAATACCTATAGACATGTACATTGTTCTCCTGCTCAATTAATTTCGATAATACAAGACATAAGTGAATAGAGGGAAACGGAAAACTTATATTTAAACTAACTGTTGCTAGTGACTACGCCTGCGTAAAAATAATAGCCAATATTACTCAATGATAACGTAGCTTTTTAATGGTGAAAGAATTTTTTCATTCGTCCCAGTAGTTTTTGAGTTATTTCAATACATATAAAAAAAACAAATCTTTTGTCTTTATACTATTAGTATTTTTAAACAATTTATTAATTGATACTATCGTTATAACTTAAAAACTCAGAGCAACTCTTCTTGTCAGGATTCGCGCGCCATTGTAATGACATTGACAGCTGTCAGTTAGAGATGTGACGTTTATGACATAATCTAGTGTTGCGCCAATACTACAGCGCGGTACTCTATTTCTTCTTAACGTATAGAGTACAGATATAGATTAAAATAATTTTGACAGTCAATGATGTACATTTTAGCAGCATATGAGAGTAAATGGTTTTGTATAGACAGTTGAGACACTAATTTGCAGCGTAATCAACATTTATAAATAGCAAAAAGTGCGATCTTTGTTGAACCCGACTAACTAAATATAAACCTTCTTCTAATACAAATTCCATCACTCTGACTCTTGTATTTAAACTGTTTTTTTTTATAACATTAACAAAGATTGTGATGATTCAATTGTTTTTAGAATAAACATAAGCAACATGTCATAAATTTATTTATTTAATAAACTAGTTATAGGTAAATATTAATTGATGAATCTATCGTCCTTTTGTAAAGATAAAAAACATCAGAAACCAGACAGAATCAATAGAGAATGGATGCACAAATAATTAGGGTTTAATTAACAAAGATTGCAAAAAGTATCGTTATTATTCAGAGCTCTCGAGCTTAGCAAGGGCGACGTTATGAAATCGATCAAACAACGAATTCGGTGTCCAATTAGACGGGAACAAACGCCCGGACGTCTCGTCTATTTATTTTATGCATTCCGCTCCGAGGATTTTCGGCCTGAGTTAATTTACTGGCCATTATACAACTGCTGAGCTGTTAGATGACTTCACGTTCCGTTTTCATCACTTTTTTAATTGACTACGAGACTCTCGTTCGACAGTATTATGAAAATATTGTTCTGACATAATAAATTGCGTGGGACATTTTAAAGCGATTCATAGAATTCAATGCAATTATTGTTAGCGTGAATTTCCCGTTGGCAATTTGGTGAGATTTTTTTAATCTGAAATACCTAAAGATAAGCCAACGAAATCATGTGTTTAATTTACTTCTTGCGGCTTGTTTTTGTTACCAGTAAGTAACATTAAACCTTCCCTATTCTTCAGGTATATAACTTGGTAAGGTAAGGTAAAGTGTATAACTTGTGGTTGGTAATCGATTTATGGACTGCCGTTTACAAAGCATACAATTCAATCTCTCGGCTATTGGGGTATGTCTATATTACGAACCCACTCGATATGAATCGTTCGTTTTATGCAAACATAATCGAATGAAAAACAATATTTACAACTACCGCACGGCCACGAAAAAGCTCTTCACGCAACGCGTGTTATCCTATTACATAGCCCACAATAAACATCTAATTCTTTCTTGCGCACCTCCATGCACCTTCTTTTGTCTCGCTCATGCAAATACACATCTCTGTCCGGCTGAGTTCGGTTCGGGAGCTCCTTATTCCCTAGTTCATTTCGCGAGCTCGCGGCGATAGGACGTGCATTTCGCTCCTGAATTTCATGAAAACGTGCGACCCGGGAGTGTTTTTTCTACCGGTATCTTAATGAAAAATTGATGAATACGCGCCTTTAACGATCTCTTTCGTAACTGTGTAGTGGGTCGAATGAATTTGTAGGACTGTGAAAGGGTGGCGATGTTACGGGATGCTGTCGCTTTGGTGAGTGTAACCTTACACCGATTACAGGTGGATATGTTGCCTGAAAATTATATACAGGTAGAGAAAGCGATAGCCCGGAAGTAGAATATGAATTGCATTTTTGTTCAATTGCTTTCACACTGAATGTTATTTTAATATTTCTTTTATTTATTTAAATTGCTTGTTTTAATCGCACCAAAATAAATAGAGTTACATTTATACTGTCATTGAAGTCTAATTTGATTATTTTTTGACTTTCATTTGATTTTAAATATGTCAGTAATTGCTACCGTTAGCAATTTTTTTACTATTGTTATAAAGTTGAACCGTATTTACAAAAAAAAAACAAAAGAATTAAACTTAAGATTTCCTGTTTCATAACCGTTTACAATTTATTCGAAATAACTCATACTAATACTTTATATTATAAATGTGAAAGTTTAGATGGATGGATGGATGTTTGTTAGAGTTTGTAGCCTAAACTGCTGAACGGATCTCAATGAATGGCACAGATGTAGTGGATAGTCTGGAAGAACATATAGACAACTTGGTTTTATCATTTTTTAATACCACGCTGACGGAGTCGCGGGCGAAAGCTAGTCTTTAATAATAAAACGCTTTGACAACAGCAGTTAACTTTAGTTTAATAGCCCTTGGTTGTTACATTTGAGTAGGTAATTTGTAAATAAATAAAAGACCTGATATGTACATTAAATAAATTAATATTTGTAATATAATCTGTGTATGTTAAACTAAATAATGTTATACTGAAATATTGCTTTAGTTGTGTTATACATTACTAAGCATATTTCAGAGTACATACATTAATGTTTCGTATATATTTTGACCTATAATTAAATTATTGCGAAATATAATTGGAGGTATTGTTTTGTAGTAATGTCATATTGATATCACGGTTATTCTCTTAGGAAAAAACAAAGTCGCAAAATTTTTATTAAGCACTAGCTGTTGCTCGCGAGTTTGTGCGCATAAAGTAAAGCAAAATGGTCTATGTTATTCGCTGCTATCGTAGCTTTATAATGGCGAAAGAATGTTTGAAATCGGCCTAGTAGTTTTTGAGTTATTACAATAAATACAAATCTTTCCTCTTTATAATATTGGTATAGGTTACGATAATCTAGTATAAATTATATGGCTTATAGTAATGGATATACTCTACACATATTTTTACATCCACAGTTTGTTTGAGAAAGGAAATATAGCGTATAAAACCATTTATGGAAGGTCAATTGCCCATTTACAAGATGTAATGATTCTAAAAACTCTTTTGGCAAATCCAAATTGATGGAGTACGGATGATCTGTTTTCTTTGAAAAGGGATAAAACCCCTTTTACAATTTATAAGCTTTATGAGAAATTTGAAAGGCAAATTTGAAACTTAATATGTTGTGACGTGATAACTTGATTTGCAGACCGTTGTTTTGGTTATTGGTCGTAGCTTGACTCAGCTCTCTTAAAGGACGTTCTTAATTCTTGTGTATGTTTTCTTTATTACTAAAACTTAGGTACCTAGGTTGCCAGCTATATTATGAAATTCGCGGGCCACGAGTGCTATTTGAATATAAATTTTGAACACAGTCTGTTGGAATTAAGTTTCAATAATTAATAAGATATCGAATTTAAAATTTTGTTTCGACTTTTCTCATTAAAATTTAAAAACAAATTTGGCAATATTTGCAATAAAAAAGAATACACTTTATGTGTTTTTACATCGGTATAAACTCTTTTGTACTCATTACTTTTAGCTACCATTTCTAAACGTAATACACGAGCCGCGCCCTATGACACAAGGTATAGGATTTCGTATAACATTGTTCAGTGCTGCCATTGTAATACTTGTATCACTTACTATTAGTTGAATGTCCCGTATAACTGTTTTCTTTCTGCCATCAAAAGGAAACTGAACACATAATTATGGAACAAAACGAATTTTGTAGCCGTCAATTGTTTTTGCGTACCAACCGCTGCCTATAGATTTCATTTGCGGATGCGTTGTCTATAAAATCAATAGAGGTATATGAAAGAGAATATTTCTACTTGTGCGTCTGTACCCTTCCAAATACTTTTACCGTATACGCGTAATGACACGTATATTCTCTGTGCTCGTGGTATTGCAAAATATATTATTGAGGACTGTTCCATTGTTTTTGTAGCAGAGTTTGTCTAAAACAGAGTAAGATATTGGTTTTATACAATTGTATCAGATGCAAAATACGTACATATACAAAAAAAATGTTTTCAATAACTAATTTGTACTTGCCAGTCATAAATGATTCTAAATGTAATTTATAGTTGAATAAATCGTTTGAATATTAACCATCTTGGTAGCTCTTGAGCTCTGATGCGAATTACTGTTTAACTAGGTCATCTATTTTCCACAATTATATCCGCAGTTACGTGTCTACTAGATCAATATCTCTATAAATATAATATGCAAGCTAAATCTCTACATAAAACTCAATAGATTTTTATAGCGCACGCACACCTTTGAATAAACTATCCCTCAACTCTTTAGTCTATGATTCTAATGAGATTACACCCACGCACACTACTCAATTTTTAATTGAGCAACTAAACGGTTGAATGGGCTACGAAACAATTGACAAACGTACAACAGTTGTGCGATAGTTTAGTCAAAGGTGTGCGCCCACTCTTAACCGCATCAACATTCAATAAGTTTTTTTGAAATGGGTAACAAAAAATGTTCAATTGCTCTCCACAATATATCATGCTTTTCGATAATTATTGTCTTTTGATTGGTGAAAGAATCTTTTAAAACACGCGGATATGCAAAAATGGGTCCAAATCGATTGTTGAATTCGGTCGTAAATGGATTTAATCTATATTCTATTTAAATGTTTTACTATTTGTCAGGTCAGCACAATAACATTGCAATAGAATTGAAAGCCCGCATTCGTATCTTATAGGCTTAACTATAGATAAAAACGGGTAGCACTTTCGCAAGTTTTATATCCGTCACGACCGAGAGAAGCCATAAAGCGTTTCCCGCTGAAAATTGAAAGTGGCCTCGGCTGTAAAACTTGCGATGAATGAAGCACTCACAGATATCAATTTAGAAATTCGACGCTTACGACGTCATGAAAATTTATGTTTTTTTTTTATATTAACTCATTATTTATTCATCATTAAGTGCCAGTATTAATTAAAAAATAAACACGCCTTATATTAACCAGCTTGTTTTATAACAAGTTTTATAATAGTTGTTTTTTTTGATAACTAGATGGCGTTCTTGCATTTTAAAATACAACAATAACTTCTATTCCGAAATTTTCACATTTTTGACAAATTATAAATAATCTTTTTTATTTCTTTTGATATGGTACACACTATGGATATAATTGTTACCTATATTTATAACCAATGATTACAGCACGAGATAACTTTTTATTTTTAATAAGATTTTTAGTATTATAAACTTATATTGTTACCGTTTTGTGGATAGTAAGCCAGGGTCAGACTCAAACGCTGTAAATAATGTTAGGTGAATCGGAAACGAGGGTGATGGTGCGCTCCGTTGATTTACATCCTCCCCGTCTACGACTTATAAGGATAATTTTTTTCCGGCTCCATTTTTGTCTATCCCTTCCTCTGGCCGATTAACCCCGACTTGGGGAGTTTTGACAAAGTCATTGCGAAAACGAAATGACTATGCGAATCTACGATATCTTTTATTCTACTTATAATTGTTTTTATAAACAGCTTTCGCTCACGACTCCGTTATCGTGGAATTAGAATAGAACAAAAGAATTTGTCGATGTGTTCCTCGAAACTAACCTCTACATCATGTAAAATTTCGTCAAGGTCTGTTCAGATGTTTATGCAACATATTCTAACAAACATCCAACTATATAAACTTTCGCATTTATAATGTTAGTAAAAAATATATATAAAACCATCCAGTACATTTTATAATTTAATTAACAAGTCTTAAGATGCCATAAAACATAATCTTGATTGATTTGAACATAGTAATATTATCAACTTAGTTATTCAATTTTTTTTCATAATTTAGTTACCTTAGTACTTAGGAGAACACAACCGTTGGTTTAAACAGCCAAAATACTAAAACGTTATTGTCTTATATTAAATTTAAAAAATAAACAAGCGATGGTCAGGTCATTAAACTAGTGGCTTCTCGTGTACAGCCTCCCAAGAAGCCGTATTCTGTGATCGTTTTTTGTTCTCATTGGCTTCTGTGTATTTTGGTACTCTTTTACCGGTATTATAGTTGACTGAGCCCTTAATATGCGTTAAACATGGACCTTTCATAACTTTTTAAGTAAGACAAACCATGTTAAGGTGATTTTGTTATTTGAATTTTCAAATATGTGTTTAAATTAAACTAGTTGGTGTTTTTTCCTATCATATGTTTTATTAAAAACGTGTGTTTGTTTTTAAAAAAAATATAGTTTGTTTTAGAATAACATTCTACATGACTCCATTATTCATTTGTTTATAATAAGGATTATTGCATAATGTTTTTGTTACGTAAACAATCTAAGCAATTTTATGCGATCATATCTGATGATGGGTGTTATGATCAATATTACATAACATACGTAATGTCACATTCCGATACACACACTAAAGACTATAAAACAAAGAAATAAATAGACAGGACAAACTATCATCCATAACTTGTTACCACTGGGTAAAGGTTGAGACACCGGCTTATGGAGACGCATTTGCTACATTTATGATTAACGTGTTTGTAGTTATGCTTCATGTCCGCTCTATGTCATATTTGTATGTCTGTCAAAAACCAATATCCGTTGTTATAACTCTACATTGTAACCGGGGAATGACTGTCATCCGCCAAATATATTACGAAGCGCCATTCGACCGTCGACCGTCGACGTGCATTGACCTATTTCACGTCTATTTCTGCTCGGCCGGGAATATCCAGAGGGCTTTAATGTTTACTTCGCTTTGATGATAACATCAAATTATCGATGCGTGAACTTTTTGATGGAAACCCA